CCCCCTAGCTACTACCCAGCGGAAAGAGGGCCCAGCGCTGAGTGTCTTCCTTTCCCACGTTTCTCGTCTGCCACGAGTGTTCTTTCCCATTTTCCACCCCCCGCCGACCTTTCAGCCTCCAGTCAGCACCCTTTCATTGCGCTTTTTCTTGCAATTCGGCGAGCCGCAAACATGAGCCTCAATGAGTTTGAGATGTACCGCCGGGACGAGCATGTCGACAGTTACCGCAAGGACGGCAATGTCAAAGCTTCTACGGTCGAAGGAAGAGAAGTGCGGGCAGTCCCAACGCTCGACGTACGTTCTGTGTTTACCTTCCCAACTGGGTTCGCCTCGGGCATTGATTGACCTCTGCAACAGCGGTACATTACTCGTCTCCCGGCTGTCGCCTTCCCAGCACTCTTACAATCGTCGTGGGAAGCGGTAGCCGTGGCTTTCGGCGCTGGGCTGCTCAATGGAGGTCCAACCGCTCTGGTCTGGGGCTCCCTTCTATGTATCATCGGATCTGTAGCATTGGCGTTATCCTTGGGTGAGATGGCATCCATGTATGTGTTCTCCAGAGACGTGACGATTCTTGCCGTTGACCGGTTTCCAGAACGCCAGTCGTTGGCGCTCAGTATCGCTGGACTGCCTTGTACGCCCCGAAGAGGTTTATGTCTCCCGCCTTCTGGAGCTTGCTACAAGGTATGTTGCTTGTGTCGTGAGTTTGCGTTGACAACCCAGCTGACTTGACTCTCGAGGATGGATCACCGTAAGAAGTCATTCCTAACCAGTGGACGCGCCTCTAATATCGATACAGGTCTTTGCATGGATTGCCGTCTGCACCCAAGTCTGTTTCCTCGAAGGCACCATTCTCCAAGGTCTCATTATTCTCAACGTCGACTCGTACATCCCGAAAGGGTGGCACGGGACTCTCCTAGCTTGGTCCATCCTTGCCTTGCCTCTCTTGTGCAACATCTTTGCTCGAAAGCTTCTGGCTCCTGTGGAAATCTTGGGAGGTGTTGTACATGTCGGCCTCTTCGTCACCTTCATCATCGTCCTGGTGGTTCTCTCGCCGCGAAGTTCCGCCGCTTACGTCTTCACCGAGACCAATACCAATCTTAGTGGCTACTCGAATGGTGGCGTATCATGGTGCATTGGTCTCTTGTCTGGCGCTTTTCCTTTAGCAGGTATGGGCTGTTTGCACACAGAACAGGAGGCAGGATGGTTGCTGATATTCCAATAGGGTTTGACGGAGTGTTGCATATGAGTATGAAGACTTGTCGAACACGTAGGATCCAAGCTCACTCTTCCATCCAGGTGCCGAAGTCAAGGACGCATCTCTCCGCGTACCACAAAGTATGGCCTTGAGCACGCTCATTAACGGAGTTATGACCTGGGGCATTATCATCACCATTCTCTTTACCATTGGCGACCCAGTCGCCGTATCCCAGACCCCCTACGTCTATCCGATTATCCAGATGCTGTACAACGCGACGGGCTCTAAAGGGGCCACCACGGCGATGATGACCTTGGTCTTGTTCATTGGAGTGGTCGCCGTCTTCAGTACTCTTGCCTCCGTGTCCCGCCTGACTTGGGCCTTCGCGAAAGACAAGGGCCTCCCGTTCTCTGGATTCTTCAGCATTGTAAGTCAGCCCACGTCGATCCCACACCACCAAAGGGGTTAACTCCAACCTTGATACCGATCAATTTTTTTAATATTCTCACTCCTTTAGGTCCACCCTAAGCTGCGTATCCCCTTGAACTCGCTCCTTTTGATCGCGACTATCGTCATGGTCCTCAATCTCATCAATATCGGCAGTACAACAGCCTTCTTCGCCATCCTGTCGCTAAACACTCTAGCCCTCTACATCAGCTACATTATCCCGATTATCTTCTTTATCATCCATAAGATACGAGGCTTCCCCGTACCTTACGGGCCCTTTAAACTACCGCGCGGGCTCGGGCTCCCTATAAACTTCCTCGCCGTCAGCTACGCTGTCTTCATCAGTATCTGGCTCCCCTTCCCCGCGGTCGTCCCCGTCAACGCCCAGACTATGAACTACGGGGGTCCCGTCGTGGGGTTTGTCCTTCTCGTCGCCCTTGGGGATTGGTTTATCGGTGGGAGGAAGAGGTTCACCGTCCCCGTGGATATCTGTAACGCCGACGACGAGGGCGCCCAGAGCGATTCCCCGTAAGATCATTTAGAAGATACTCGTATTAGTGGCCAAATCGCTTTTTGGGGGGGGGGGG